TTTCACAACAAAACCCGCCCAATCGCGTTTCGAGGGGGTCTCCTGTTAAAAATCGCGTTCCGAGGATAAAATACGCGTGTTTTGGCGGGGTTCCCCTGGTAAAATTCGCATTCCAGGGGCTAAATATCACGTTAATGGGGTCGGTTTTCAACCCGCGGACATGAAAAACAACCCGCGGCAACAGTGTTAATGCAGCCCAATTCCGCGGGAAAACCGTGGACTTGGCAACACTGGAAGAGGATAGCTTTCGGACAGCGCATCAATAACCGGTACTTAAGAAAACCTGGTACCGTAACGTTTTCATTTTTTTAGTACCGACTTGGTACCGAAATACCGGGTCTTTTGACAACACTAACCCCAATAATTATAAATCACTAAACCCTTTTCTCAAATATTGCCAATTCGAGAGAGAGAGAGATGAAAGTTGCGTGTATGCGCGTCTGTGCGTTTCGCTTTTTATAGTGAGTTTACTTCAAAAACAGTGATTTTATCCTCTCGTTGCTGGAAAATATAATGTAGCGATTCAGTATTTAAACTGGTATTAATAAAAGTCGTGGGGCAGCGATGACAAGTTTCTTTGCTCCTGGATGTGTGAGCTGCGCGATCTCTGATATGTGTGTGAGAGTGTGTGTCAGTAAGCAGCGCATTAACGATAATTAAAGGCTCTAATTCACACCAGTATAGGTGTGTGTGTATTGACGTATGATGACGTGTGACGGCATAGTAGTGGTGTCCAAAATTCTTAGGGGAATATTTTCACCCCTACCCCTTGACACTGTTTCAAGGGACCAGGGGAAGGGGTATAAAATGTAATTGGGATTGGGCCTAAGTCAGCTATCCATAGCTTCTTGTCATTGCACTAGGACGGTGATTTTAAATTATTATGCTGTGTGCATTTCCATGAACCACAGATCACTGTAAAATTGTGAGTGCATTGCCAGCAAGTCTCCACGGCTTCACAATCCTGGTTGACGTAATACGGTTCGCCTCATAGGTAAGCTGCAGAATCTTTCCTTGGTGTGTAATTTACATATGTTTGGTTTTGAGATATATATATATATATATTCTTGCAGTGTCTATTTTGGGCAAGCTATAGATTGAAGAAGTCATAAATTCAGATGTGTGGATACTGAGTTGATGGAATATCTGCTCTGGAAATACTTGAATATGTGCTGTCTTTTTTTATTCCATGTCCATTGAATTGCTTTTTCAGTGAGGCAAAGGTCTGATGATGGAGAATGGACAAGGCACAGGTGCAAAGCTTGTGTTACCGCCTCTTACTCCAGAGCAACAGGAGGCGCTACAAAAGGTAATAATAGATTTTTTTTACCTTATTTTTAGACTTTCATATCTTTGTTAGAGACATCAGAGGGAAAGTAGTGGAGCGAGAGGGGGAATGGGATCAGTACAGGTCACGGGCCGAACTCCAACCTGCGTCACCTGCTCCAGTGTGTCAAGAGCATGTGTGCTCCATCTTAAAATAGATTCTTAATTAAAAAAAGTCAAGGCCACAGGATGCTTTTCCATAAGTCAGATTGGAGCTTCTTTTTTTTTTTTTTTTTGGGGACTTGACCAGCAACCAGTCTCTGTTAGACTGTTAGAAGAAAATTCCTCCCAACAAGCAACAATCCATTATGGCGAATTAAAGGGTTAGTTCACCCAAAAATAAAACAATTCTGTCATTAATTACTCACTCTCATGTCGTTCCAAACCCGTAAGACCTCCGTTCATCTTCGGAACACAAATTAAGATATTTTTGATGGAATCTGAGAGCTCTCTGACCCTCCCATAGACAGCAAGGGCCCTTAATGATCAACCGTAATATTATGAAGCTACGAGAATACTTTTTGTGTGCAAAAGAAAAAAAATAACGACTTTATTCAACAATTCGTCTCCTCCGCGTCACCCTAGCACCATTTTGGAGAGTATCCACTGAACGCAAAGAGTGTATGTTGTTCTGTGTCAGCCTGACCACACGGATACGTAGTTTTCGTTCAAATCAAAGCACAAACAACGTAGAAAATGTATCTGCGTGGCGCAACTGAGACAGAACAACATATGCTGTTTGCATTCAGTGGATACTCTCCAAAATGGCACCAGGGTGACACGGAGGAGACGAATTGTTGAATAAAGTCGTTATTTTTTTTCTTTTGCGCACAAAAAGTATTCTCGTAGCTTCATAATATTACGGTTGAACTCCTGATGTCACATGGATTATTTTACCGATCTCCTTGCTACGTTTCTGGACGTTGATCGTTTAAGGACCCTTGCTGTCTATGGGAGGGTCAGAGAGCTCTC